GAGGAAAAGATTTCAGAAAGAGAAGGACGAACAAAGATCTTCTTTTGCTCCACTTGTGATGAATCGAGAAACAAGAAAGGAAAGAATTCGAAGCAATGAAAGGATCAAAGCAATATAATATGTAAGATTCAAGAAAAAGATCATCTCTGCATAATTTTTAGAGAGAAAGTGACAAACGCAGAGAAAAAGGAAGTTTTTTTTGTAATTAAACTATTGATTTCACAACGGTAATAAAGAGAGAGAAAAGTTACCGTTGATTAATAACGTTCCATATTTTTCTTAATCCTCTTACCTTTAATCTTTGAATTTTGATTGTGAATTTGTGGTGTGTCGGTCATCTTACTGAACCGGATGAAACCGGGGGAAATTTCAACGAAATGATGCAATGGAAGTGTTCGACGAAATGTCTGAGAGAGAATTTTGCACTTGAGATTACGTTTTATGTTACGAGAGATACTTGACATTAAGGCAATGTAATCTATGACCAGCTTTGTCTTTAAGGTATATAGTGTATTTTCTTCTTTTAATTTCAGCAACTAAGCTACTCTGACTTTTGAGTATTTTCTCTGTGTCTGTAGTGTTATCAAAGAGTGTTGCGTAAAGGCGGAATCTTTATTCATTACTTGAGAGAAGAAATGTTATGATTAAGTAGCTGAAAGAAACAACTATGCTGCTTATAAAATAATTACGCAAATGGGGTTGTTGAGTGAGCATCTGGGTGACACATTGGTCTTGCAGGTTTGAGTTAACATCACTGAGATTTTGTTACATTGGTGATGCAAAAGCAAATGTACAAGTAGCTTGACGTATCAAGCCCAAGTTATAAGTTTCAACTTGGGTTTATTAATCATGTTGAAGCTGTGTATTTCCTGGCGAGCTGAACAATTAGCTGGTCATATACGATTGGCTAAGGAAGCTATATGGATTAGTTGTCTATATGATTAATCTAATTTCAGCCACACTATATGATTTATTGTCTATAAATTTTAAATATTGACTGAGAGTGTTTTTGAAAAAACAGGGGACGAGCTTTGAGTTTGTGGAGGTTGAAAAAGTGAATATTTTTACCTGTGTAGCGGAGACCTCTTCTTCTTCATGACATTTCTAGTCAAGGATCATATTAACCAGACTCAAACATTTCAAGCGAAGGTTCACAATGCGTTTAGTAGAAGCCAAGCAAATATTAAGTAGAAATTAAGAAAATATTAAGTAGAAATCAAGAAAATGTGGAATTGTCTTCTCTCGTTGGTTGTGTCTAGGCTGCACACCGGCTTTATCACACTAGGCCCTCAACAACAGAAACATGTTACAAAACCATAAATTTTGTTATTTAATTGGAGTTAATGAAGAAAAAACAAAATAATTTTAAATAATATAAAAAAATACAAGAATATAGTAGATTTGATTGGTACTCATAATATAATCTTTTAAGATCCAAAAGAAAATATTATATTTTGAAATGGACCATTCAAATTTCAGAATGAATTTCCAACTTTTTTAGTGAACTATCTAACATTCATATAAAGGGTAGTTTCTATATTATTTTAATTTTTTTTTTTATATAATAAGTGATTGTGCATCTTTCTATCAAATTTTGCCATTGTTCATATAAGTATTCATAATTATATCCATATTTTTACAATCCGAAATTATATTATTGTAATTACTTTTATTAGTATATTATTTGAGTTATTGATTTCTATCAAGTTCATTATAATTTTATTAATTTTTTATATATTAATATTAATGACGTTATTCTTCATATTTTACTTAATTTATTGTGTTTTAATTTATTCTTCAACTTTTGATTTTTGTTTGTTTCATACTTGGCAACAACTCAATTTGTATCAAGGATATTACTATGAGAGTCATCTCGTTTTCACAACAAGGACCGCGAGCTATTTGTATTTTATCAGCAAATGGAGTGATATCAAACGTCACACTCTTCGCCAGCCTGATTCCTGCGGTGGTTGTCTATCTCTCACTCCATTTTGAAATTATCATAGATAGTGAAACAAAGATTCTTATCACGAGCTTTTTGGTTTGTGGCAGGGTCGGTTTGAGATACTGTCGCTGTCTGGTTCTTTCATGGAAACAGAGAATCAAGGTTGAAAAGGTCGGTCTGGTGGCATGAGCCGGTTTTTGTGGTTCTTTGTAAGGCTCGGTATATGGAGATTATGGGCGTGGCAATGTTGCCTCTGGTTTCAGTTTAGTCTTATTTGTGTTTTCTACTTATTGGCTTGTGACCATGTTATTAGCGGTAGTTTGTAGAAGGATTGTTTGTTAAAACGTTTAATGAAAAAAGACCTACCTACCTACCTACTCGAGCTTCTTCTATTTCTAGGATAACTTTCTCTGTATTGACAATTCTTTTAAGCTTTTTTCCTCTTAACTGCGCACTAATTTGTTTCATATTTAGCCATAAGATCTGAATGTGCTACATTCTAAATTTTATAAATTCCATTCATTGTTCAATACAACCAAATATGGGATGCAAGATGGAGATTTTTATGACTACACTTCATTCCTAAACTGAATAAAAACCAAAACGTAATTAACTAATGATGTTGAAGTTTTACTTGCCTTAATTCACTTTTAGACCATTTCATTCTCTAGCTTAAACCACTCAATCTATATATCATACACACACAATATCTGTTACATACTAAAAGAAAAAGAAGAGAAACAATGGGGATTAGACTGATGATAGAAAAAAATTTCTTACTTTTTGTAGTCTTTCATTTTGCATGGATTTCTCTTGGAGATGAGGTAAAAAAAAAACTCTTTCATTCTCAAATTAGTTAGTCTTTTTTTAAAAACATGTTTTTGGTGTAAGGAAAATGATATTTTTCCAATTATATGGTCTTATATATAGCTCATATATTTCTCTAATGAAAGTTTTATTCTTTAATAACATTTGGTAACTAATTATTAAGAAGTTTTAATTTCCTAATTAAGAAAAAAAAACATTAGAGAGACAAATGTAAAGTATTAGAGACATATGGCAACACTAATAGCTAATTCATGACATGTATTTAGAGTCATACTTAACACTTGTCTTACATGTTTTAATCTCTAACAAGWGTWAAGTATAAYAGACAAATGTGTAACATTCATGGCTAATTCCATGACATGTATTAGAGGCATACTTAACATTTGTCATACAAGTTTTAATCTCTAACCATGATGGATGGTTGAGATCAAAACKCWAATGAGGAACTAGGTCKTKTCTCCTCCTATAAATACTTATCTTTAGCCCATRYTAAAGGTGTGATCAAAGTGAGAACAAAATTACACAACACATAAGAGATAGGTTTGTAGGAAAGGGGAGAGAAATCTTAAGTCCTAATCAAAGATCAAGACTTCATCTTCTAATCAAATCAACCATATAAGGAATACTTCCTCATCATGATGAATAGAGGTACTCCTTTAACTCTCCTAATTTTATTATGTAATTAATTTAGATGCTTAAAAATCTTAGGGTTCATGTAGATTTATTTACATGCATGTACTTAAATATTACATGCATGTTAATTTTATTTAACATTTGGAGGGTATACATCATTCAAACAATTAATTTATGAAACGTGTAAATTATTTTTCGATCATATTGAAAAGTGATATAAAATATGTAGATGGTCCATATGACATAATAATGTCATAATTCATGTGTCTTCGAAAGCATCTAATGAAAAAATTGAAACAGTACATTACAAAGAAATGACACAGACAATTCGAAAGAATATAATATAATGTCAAACTTCTGTCTAAAATTGTATTTTTCACAATTAAGATTATAGATACGTTGGAAAGAAAACACAAATATATAAATTTGGAAGGAATAAAAGGGATTCGTATCGTAATCTAGAAATAGGAGAGGTACACAGAAAACGAGGGAGATTTTATTTTGGTTTTTGAGAAGCAAAGCAGAGCTGTCTAGAGTATAATAAAACCTTTGATTGAAATAGGGAATGAAAAGAATCGAGAACGAGTTTGGGGTATCAAAAGCATTACCAAATGAAACTAATGGTGGAAGGGTGGATGTAGTGGTGGCTAAACACGGGTCAGGGGACTACAAGACGATCCAAGAAGCTGTTGATGGTGCGGGAAAGAGAACAAAAACAAGCCGTAGATACGTTATACGTGTGAAACAAGGCACTTACGAGGAATATGTGATTGTCGGAAGCCAATCAAACAACATCATGATCATCGGCGACGGTATGGGCAAGACCGTAATCACCGGCGACAGAAGCAACGACACCAAATTTACTACTTTCGAATCCGCCACCTTTTGTTAGTCACTCACTCACTCATTTCTATTAGCCATTATACATTGATGATACATAACAGAGTAAAGTATACATTGATGATAAATGTTAAAAGCTATATATTATTGTTTGACAGTGGCTAAGGGGGACGGTTTGGTGCTGAAAAACATGACAATAAGAAACACTGCAGGACCGGAGAACAAACAGGCGGTGGCTCTACGTTCGGATTCGGACGCGTCAGCGTTTCACAAATGCAGCTTCGAAGGGTTCCAGGATACACTCTACCTCCGCGATAGCCGTCAATTCTTCAAACAGTGCGATATCTACGGAACCGTGGCCTTCATATGCGGTGACGCAAAGAGTGTCAGATATTCGCACGGAGACCACCCGGCTGAGTTAACACGATCACGGCACAAAAGCGGGTCAACAAGAATGATACGAGTGGGTTCGTGATAGACAACTCGAAGGTGAAGGGAGCTCCGGATGTACAGCTCGGAGGTGTGAAAACATATTTGGGTCGTCCTTGGTCTCCGTACGCACGAACGGTGGTGATGAAGACGCAACTTGGCGAATTGGTCGATCCCAAAGGATGGCTTCAGTGGGGCAACATGACGGACATTAGCAGCATGTATTACGCGGAGTATAGAAACTCGGGACCGGGTTCGGGTACAGAGAACCGGGTAAAGTGGCCCGGGTTTCACGCGATATAGGCTGAACATGAAACTCGTCTGTTTCGGTAGCCAATTTTATCGACGGTGCTTCTTGGTTGCCAGAAACCGGAGTGCCGTTCTCCGTTGATCTCTAAAAAACTGACGGTTTGGATTCTGTCAGAGAAGGCAAAACAGCAAAGGGTTATGTGTTGCATTTCAATTGTTTTGCCATAATATAAAAATACTTTTCAGTTCGAAAGAAATCCAAATAATCTAAGCTGTGAAATCGAATTAAGATGCAGAATAAAAACAGTGCAAAACTAGTGATGCTTTTGTAATCTAGTTTAGTAATGTGTGAATGAATTGGAGAGGTTACCACAAGTATTTAATCCCATCTTCTTCCACGTTTCTTGACAATAGGAGTTGATGAAGAAGCTTGAATGGGCAAAGGAATACCATTAGGACATGATTATGGGTGGTAAATAAGGGTAAATATAAGAGATTTTTAATATTATAAAAATTTTATATTTACTCAAACCATTTTTGGGTTTCTAAATATAGAATCTATATTACTCATATTTAGTAGGCAAATAATATAACA